CAACAAATTTAGGTAGGGAAGTAAGTTTTGATACTCTGTTGCATGATAGGGTGACGATACTTAACAATAATGTAGTGTATATTTCAAAGTAGCTAGAAGAGAGGGCTTTGAATGTTTCACCAAAAATAAATAATATCTGAGTTGATAGATATGCTAATTATTTAGGTGTGATCATTACACATACATCAAAACTTTATGCATGCATGAAGGTATACATGTATAACACTTTACATTGTGTGCCATAAATTTGTTCAATTATTATGTGCCAATTAAAATARATTTTTGGCCTTATACTAATCCAAATAATGCCAACATAAATACTTTTGAACATTATTATTTTTTTCTTCACAAAACAAATATATTTATAGGGCCTGGGAAATAAAATCACTGAAACAAATGACACATGGTATTAATTTTAATGAATCTGGCCCACTTGCTATCTTTAGCGGTRTAAASATGTATATTCCCATCAACTGTGGAYTGTACTTTTCTGGACCTGTGATATTCATTTTTTAGAGTGTTGTCAGTTAGACAACCCCCATACCATTGTGTGATCTTCTTTTGCAATTCTCTTATGCGTGTGATTAAAACTCATTTTTCTCTGTGGAAAATCCATTCACGTTGCCTTTTCTGTGAATAGTCTGTCCAAGTCTTGCCTGTTTTGTTTCCTTTGGAATTATTCATCTTTTCCTTATTGATTGGCAAGAGCTCTTAATGTATTAATGACATAAGCCTTTCTCATACATGAGATGTGGGTTTTCCAATTTGTCTCTCTTCATTTTGCTTTTCTCACTTAATAACATATAAGAGACCTAGTTGGTATTCCATGCAGAAAGCTTTTGGATTTTCTTTTCATATAAAAAGTAAATTCCATGCTTGGGGTTGTGCTTAGAATAGTCAGCCCATTCTTCAGTGTTAGTGCTACTCAGAGTCTGATCATGAAACTGCCTTTCTGAGTGCACTTGCTCCCCGTGGGACCTCAGMCATGACGACAGCCACTGGTACATGGCAGTTTCTAAATATACGACTCTCACCCAGATTCTCCCAGCGTACCTCTGACTGCTGCCGGTGCCACCCTGTTGATTTGATCAATACTGAACTCATCACCTCTGCCTGTCCTTCCCTCAACCAGTTGTTTTCCTTGTGTTCTTCATCTCAGTGAGGCTAATTTGACCTATTTTCCAGGACAGAAAGCTACCTGTCATCCCTTTTTACCAGCTTGCATGCCAGTTCCTATCTGTATCTATTGCACAATCTGTTAATCCAACACACACAGCACCTTCCCCACCCACCTCGTGACCTCCAGTACGAACCAGTCATGCCAACTAGTTTCTAGGATGTGATGGTGTTCTCTTTTGCCTTGGGGACCTACCTATGTGCTGGTGGCTCTGCCTGGCCTCTCCTTCCTCAGCTCTCTCTGGTTTGTACCCCTACTTGACTTTAGATCTTACACATTATTTATATCATGAGCGACTATACCCTGAGACTCCTCTCCTCCAGGTCTAGGCTAGGTTTTCTTTCAGAATCTTGTGTTTTCCTCATGATAGTATTTATTACACAGTAATGTAATTGTCTGTTTATTTGCCAGAATCTCCTAGATTTCAAACTCCAAATGGGTCTCATCTTGATTCCTTTAATAATTTGGATAGGTGCTAAGAATACAGTGACATCTTAATTGCTGGTGAACCCCACCCAGCTCTCTTGTTCTTGGCACTGAACTTACTAAACACTTTGTTGCATTTGTGGGGGAATGAATAAAGTCTGGAATTTTCTCAGTATAGTCTACATTTTTACTTTAGTTTGGTGCTAATTTGTGTCCTTTAATATATTAGGATATACCAATGTAACATTGTATAGAAATAGTCACACYAGGGGAATTTGTTCTCTCTAGGGGTTTTTCACAAGGCTTCTGTGGATTGCAATTTCCCTTTTTAATGTCTCCTCTCTTGTTCAATGACAGTAATGCTTCTCCCAGGCTACTGTTGGATTAAAACTCTTCAGTGCACTCTTTTATTCCACATAAATAAAGCTCTGCAGCTACCCCCAAATCCACCCCTGTAAAGCTGTCATTGGGTCCCTTCCCTTCCCTTTAGGGCAAATGGTGAGGAGACACATGCAGTAGAGTAGGATTCAGACCCTTGTCCTGGGGATAGAGGGTAAGAAGAATGTCTGATCGATTGACCACGCTCTGATAGTATTTATTTTAAATAAAATTTTATATATGAAAGTAATATACATTTAAAATTATTATGGGAAATTTGCAAAATATGCAATTAAGAAATAAAAATAATCCATAGTTTCATCACATAGGAGAGAAATTATTAGCTTTTTGGTATTTAAAAAAATATTCAGTTTTTTATATATTTCTTTGCACATGTACAGATATGTACCTATTCTTTTAGTGTCATTAATTCTACCTCATGAAAATTTTACTCAGCATTACATCATGAGCATTTCCTCAAATAAAAAAATAAATCATCAAACCTCTTTTTGAACATATTTTAAATGATTCATTCTATTATTTAATCATTATTTTGGTATTTGACTTGTACATTTCTTCGCTAACACAAAAATACTGCGTTTACCATTCTTTAAAAAACTTAGTCCATATCTCTGATTACTTTTTCAAGACTTCAAGAAGTAAAATTTGTAAGTAAAAGAGAGGAGCTCTAGGAGGATCATGATCTAGAGGGAAGAATGGGGATCTTTGAAGATTCCTCATTACATCTTTTTGCTTGGTCAGTTGCTTTAAAATGATGTGCATAAACACACACAATCACATTACATATACTTTTAAATAAAGACAGAATTAAATTATTAAATTAAATAAACAGATTAAATCTGTCTGCAATCAAYTCTATCAGTCTTTTTCTTTATATGTGACTCTTGCTCTTGTGCTTAAAACATCTCCCCTTATTCTGAGACAAACTGTGCTTTTTAACCTGTGTTCATTTTCAAGACTTTTTATTTATGGTTGTGAATTTTAGATTTATACCTTTAATCCATATGATATTTATTTTGGTGCATGCTTTAAGGTGAAGACCTAGGGTTATTTATTCTAAATAGCATTCTCTTTCCTTCCCACATTGGTTCACATGAATGCCCTTACCATCTCCTGCCTCATCTCTTCCCTTCCACATCCCAGATATGCTTCCAGCTTAGCCACTCACCTCCTTGTCTGTGGACTATCACCCAACTCCTCATTTGTAATATCATCTCTGTTTTGCATTGTAATTGACAAGTCACCTTCCTAATATGGAACTGTATTAGTATCATAGTCTTATCCTTAAAATGCAGAGGATAAAGCCAAAGTGTGCCATTCACGTTCCCTGCTTAGCTTCCCAAAGTTACCTTGGATTAGAGTTACCACTGCAATTACCCTGAGCTAGCTGTCAATCATCCTGATAGCCAGCTTACCTTTGGAAATCATTTTTAACATCCCAGGCAAGTGGTCCTTCTGTCAATAGCTTCTGCTTTCACGGACATCCACAGACAGATTAGAGAGTAGGCATGTGGGTGGGTCTTCTAGATTGTTGGAATCAAAGTAAATCAACCAGTTTCTCCAAAAGTCATTTCAGACAATCTAACCCTGTCCAAGAAACCTTCCCAACAACTCTAACTCTGTCTGACTGGTACTTCAATCCCTCATTTGTCATTTCACATACGTTCAGTTGGCACTGAATTATTGATGCTTATTGAGTGTCCCTTTTTAAGTGATCCGTGTGTGTCTTTGCATGCTCCATCTTAATGGATGGAGAGCAGGAAGAAACCTTACAGATCATTTAGTCTCATCCCTCATTTTGCAATTGAGTCCACCCAGGCTGGAGGGGGTGGGGAATGACACAGGCCATGGAGCACCTCAGCAGCTCTGGGGYCTGTGACTGCTCCTTCCCCCCTCTCCCTTGTATGCTAGTTGCCTGCTGGTTTGGCCTGGAACTTCCTTTCCCCTCCCTTTATACACTTTCCCTGAATGGCACCCCTACTTCCAGCCTCAGCAGCCATCCATAATTCCAAACTGCTCCCTCCCCTTGAATCTCTGAGCTCTGGATTGATGTCTTTGCCTCCTCTATCAGTAGCTTTGCTGGTTTGTCCTAGCAGCATTTCAAAACAGCTCTGTCATCCCCTTCTCCCTGCCCTTGCCCTGTGTACTCTTCTGAACAAAGGCTCTGGCCTCCATCAAATGGCCAAGGTTAGAAGTGCCCCTTAACTTCCACTTCTTCTTCTTCCCACATCGAGATTCTGTAGCCTCCATTTACCACATCTCTYGAGTCTTCCCATGTCACTCAATTACCTGTGCAAATACCCTGGGCCACACTCCCACTGTATCTCACTGGGGCATGGCAAGAGATTCCCAAATGGGTCTCCATGTCTCCAGTCCATTTGCCCACACTGCAGTCTGAGAAATCATGCCAGAGGACAAGCGTCCCACCACTCCATGGCTTCAGATGTGCCCCAGYCCCGAAACCCATTGTGCCCAGAGCATTCTCTGCTCTTGTCTTCACAGGATTACCCCCTGCTCTCCCTCAATTCTCCACTTAACTACCCTTTTCCATCCAAGAGGTTTTCCCTGACTCCCTTCAGCCTTCACAAACTCTAGCATAAGTTACACCCATCCTCTGAGCTGCTCCCTCCTTCTCTTGTTTATTCCTAGGGTCTGTCCTGGGGCTGGGAAGGAGGATGCCGAGCACCATCAGGTTATGAGTTGGGTCTTCTTTATCACAAAAGCCCACCACTTTTCACAGATCCAGGTTACCAGGAAGACCCACTAAGTATTTGTGGAACCACTAACTCCAGGTCTAGGGTTCTCTATCACTGTGTCCTGGCCTTCTTCCAGAGAGAGGGCCACCCTAGATGACTCTTCTTGTTCTCTTCCAAGTTCTCTTTCCTGAATCCCCTCCTTGGGTCCCTCTCCCCACATGGCTTTCCAGATGCAGACACCTCATGGTAGGGGGCCCTTTAGGGTGCACAGCTGCCCATTCTGGCCTGCTCCCTGCCTGTTGTCAGGGCTCACACAGACCCTGAACCACAGCCTGCCCGGGCCGCCAGCGCCACATCACCCTGTGGATGGCGGCCGTGATCTCACGGTTGCGCAAGCTATAAATAAGCGGGTAGAGCAGCGGTGTGACATTAGTGTAGACCAACGCCAGTGTGCGGTCCAGCCGCGGGGAGTAGCTAGTCTTGGGCCGCACATACATGAAGGTGGCACATCCATAGTGCAGGAAGGTGACTGCCAGGTGCGAGGCGCAGGTGGAGGCTGCCTTGCGACGGCCCCTGGGGCAGCGCAGGCGGCGCAGAGCTGCCGCGATGGCCCCGTAGGAGGCCAGGATGAGCGTGGAGGGCAGCAGCAGCAGCACCAGGCAGGCGCCCAGCAAGGGCAGCTCATCTGCGTAGCTCCTGGTGCAGGCCAGGTGCAGCAGCGCGGTGATGTCGCAAAAGAAATGCACCAGCAGGCGGGAGCCACAGAAAGGCAGGTGGAAGACGGCCACCGTGAGTCCCACTGAGACCGCCAGTCCCCCGAGGCCACAGGACAGGGCCAGTCGCGCGCACAGTCCGGGGGTCACCACTGCTGCGTAGCGTAACGGGTGGCAGATGGCCACATAGCGGTCGTAGGCCATGGCAGCCAGCAGGAAGCATTCCGCCCCACCCAGCGCCACGAACATCTGCATCTGAAAGGCACAGCCCAGGAAAGAGATGGGGCTACCCTGGCCCTGGGCCACTACAGTTAGGTCCGCCAGGGAGCGGGGCACCACCACCAGCGTGTAGCAGAGCTCGATGGCCGACAGCTGGCACAGGAAGAGCAGCATGGGTGGCCGGCTGGGCACTGAGGCCACGGCCACGAGGATGAGTAGGTTCCCGCTGAGGGTGGCCAGGTGTACAGTCAGCAGCAGCAGGAAGAGCAAGGGCCTCAAGCGCGGGAACTCAGAGAAGCCTTGAAGGAGAAAGCCACAGGGCATGGTGGCATTGCTGGGGCTGTCCATGCGCCGCAGAGGGAGACACCTGTGCGAGAGAAGCAGAGGAAGGGCGAGTCTGTAGGGGGAGGCATTTCTGGCCCTGCTAGAGGAGAAGGGGTCAGGTGGAAATCAGAGGGGTAGCAGGGAGTGGTGGCTGCGGAGGTGGCCCTGGTTCATGGGTCCCAGCACCCTTCCTAGGAAGAAAGTCTTACTAACTTAGAAAAAATGGCAGCCTTTCCTGCCTCCTGCACTGGAATCCTAGAGCTGCTTTCTCAACCTGAGCTACCCAAAGAAGCCTTGAGTTTAGCTGCTTACCTCTCAGTGCCTCATCCTGAAACCCACTTACAAAGACTGCACCGTGCCTCCATAACTCCAGTTATTTTGTGGGTTCTGTGTGGCCCTGAGTGTTACCTCTGCCTCTGCCTGAGTCCCCTAAGGCCAGAATGTGACTTTGCATTCTGCCTCTCTATCCTTATCCCTGTCSTACTCTGTCATTACTGAGCCACCTTCTGTGTGTGTCACAGAATCASAAAAATGTAGTGCAGATGAGCACCTTAGAGATCATCTCACACAACCTCATAATCAGGGAGGAAAATAAAGTGGAAACCAGGTGGGAGTATTGAAGGGTTTTATTGCTCACACAAAGTCAGGGACAGAATCTTTATTCCTGAAGGTGAATCCAGAACTTTCCATAACCTATCAGAGGTTTGGGAATATGGCCTTTGGGGTCAGTCAGACAACCCATATTTGCTTAGCCTTAAAATAGAGACCTAAATCTGTGCCAAGTTCAGGGTTAGACAGGCAAGCAGAGGGCCTCGCTGGGTGCCTCAGGACTAAAACGCCCCTGACATTTTGATTAATACACCATCAACATGAAAAAAGGTGGCGAACATCTGTTCTAACTTGCCCTTCAGAGTGAGCAGTACCTTCCAACTTGCCATCAGAAGACTATTTCTTTCTAAGYGTTATCCAGTGACTCATTTGCAGGCAACACTTGTAAAACATTGGTAGCCTGTAGGTCTGTTGTGTTTCTCAAAGTCCTCTGGAGGTGAGCAGGTATGAGGTGGTGAGGGGTTTGAGGCCATGTGAACTGGAGGAGGTTTGAATTTTCCCATATATATTAATGGTGTCTCTTTTTATTGCCTTATCTCTTTTTTAAATTAACTTTAATTGTAAGCTCAACTATTATTTCCTCTTCAATCACGGTTTGGAGTCAATATTGGAAGTCTACTCTGTCCGTACTGACATAGAGTGCAACTGCAGTTTAGCTGGGTGGATAAGTAACTCAGATGAAAGAATTAGAAGGAATATAATGAGCCTATCTCCTACCTTATGCTGTCTAATGCTCCTCTTGGAAGGTTTTTATTTATCAGTGTCACCTGGGATCTTTCTTGTCCCATCTGAGGGGAAACAGTCTTAGGGAGGAAGAATAGGGTTAGGGCTGGGGGCAAGTGGAGGGAGGTGGGATCATTTACTATCATTTTAGAGCCTTTTTTTTGTCACTCTTCCATCTATTGAGAAAATTTAACAAACCTGTGTTGTAGCTGCAGGTGGGAATGAGAAGCCTGGATGTCCTGGGGATTCTGGCAGGATGACACCTGAGTGTCCGCCTGGCCTTCCACAATGCTGGCCTTCTGCAGTGCCTCTGCTCCTCCCTTCACTCCTTCCTTTGCATCTCCTCGGAGAAGCTGGGCTGGGCTGGGTGGGGACGGGGGTGCAGGAGGGAGAGAGAGAAACAATCCACTTCTTTTTTCTTCGTGTTCATGCTGCTGAACAATGTGGATGACAGGAAAGGCCAGGTGATGGCTCTAGTATCTGAAAGCTCAAGGAAGATCATGTTTTATAAACAAGGCTGCTGCAAATAAGCAAAATGGGTCAATTAAATTGAAAGAAAGACATCAAGGAGCATTTCTGCTCTGCTTTAGTTTTGGGGAGGAATTGTCACAAACTGCAGGAATGTCTGTTAGAAGTGCCTTTTCTCTGAGAGGAGAAAGGATAATGGATACTTTTAAAGCTTCAACAGATAAAATCCCTGCTCTTTGCTAGGAGAGAAGCTGCAAGAAGAGAAGATGGCACTGCGAACCCTGAGAATACCCACTTCCTTCACCTGGAACGAAAGACAAATATTCTCACTCCTCCAGGTGATTAAGAACATCAGCAGTAAGAGCTAACAGTGAAGAAAGTGTCGGGCAAAGGTTCATAAAGTCTTTACATATTTAACCCACTTAATATTAGCAACAACCCAATGAGATATGAACTCTTATTGTGCCCATTTTATAGAAGAGAACATTGAATCCTCAAGAAATTAAACATCGTAACTAGTTAGCGGTAAAGCCAGATTTGCAAACAAGCAGTGTAGGTCCTGATAATCCAGGGACTTATTCACTATGTAATCTTCCTTTTTTATTTCTCTCCCCCCAAATCCTTGCCACACAAGACACATTCCATCCCCCACTTCCCATATCTCCTACCCCCCCCCCCCAACAAATGTCCTTCCATTCCGTTCTGACCTCATATGTCCCTTTGCTGGTATTTTTCCTGAGGACATGTGAATGTAAGCAGTAATGCGGATAATCCAAGAAGCAAATCTAAAAATAGCTTCTCCTTAGCTTTGACATTCATTACTGCTCTTGTTATTGTTCCTGCAGATTGGCTTTTCTAACTGTGTATGGCTACAAGAAGCACCCCACAGCTGGGACTGGCTGGTGGCCCAGGACATCTGGATATGGCTGGAAGCCTTGCTGGGATGGAGATGCAGACCTGGTATTCAATTTTTTTGCTGTGCAATATAACTAAAATTATCTATAGCAATGCTGTTTCCCATTGGTCATTTCAATAGTCAATCAAAGCACTTCTAAAAAGAATTGTGGAATGGTAGATGAGAGAGACAGACAGGTCAGGCCCCTTTGGTTCTTAAGAGTTCAGTGCTGAATTGGAGTTGGAAGGTCAGATGGTCTAGATCCTCATGTTATAGCAAGGGAGACCCAGAGAGGTCACTGGCCAGCTTGGGCTGTTGCTGCTGGACTAGAGCCAGTTCTCAGTACTTCTGGCCAAATAGTTCTATTTCTGCATGAATTGTCCTGTGGTAGACCCRAGCCCATTGATCTAGTATTACAGTCTACAAAACCACCAAAAGAGAGGTCATAGCAAAATTTTATTATTGTCCTGTAGGAAGTTAAACTTAAAAGGTTATGAATATAATTGGATTTCCTAACTTCATTTAGAAATTTGTTGTGGAACTCTGGTCTTTGAATTTTTATAAACTATAATGGAAACTATTTTTATCCTGTGCTTTTTTCCCCCTATGAATAACACACTGTAAACTCAAAAGATATTTTCTTTTTTTAGCTGAAGGAGAAARAGTCCTCATAGCTTACATTTTGCTTTGTTATTTTCTAGATGCTTGCTTTGGAGGGGAGAGGGACAAGGTAGTCACCTCTTCCAAAGGCTCAGATTCCTCACTGTTGAATGGGACAGCAAGGATGGACTTGGTGAGGATTCTACAAACGAACATGTAAAAGCTTCTAGAGTAGACATGGCACCTAGTAGGTGGACAATAACCCTGGAAGCATTCTTGCTTTTATCCTTTATTACTTTCCAGGCTTGGGTGGAATATCCTCTGCGTATTCATCATTCCATCGAAGACATTTCCTCAGCCCTTGACTGGGCTGTTTCACGTGCTTTCCTAGCACCTCTGTTCTCTTTCTGCTGTTCCAGAGGGAGAGGTGTGCATTGAGTTCTGGGTATGGAACTTCACGGGGAGGTAAATGGACAGAGATGTAGATAAATCTATCTGTCTCTCTGTCTAATCTATCTTTATATCTCATTCTACTTTTCTCTTTGTTTTTCTGTTATCTTCCCGAAACTACATAGGCTATGGAATAAGATATGTCTGGATTCAGATCCTGGGATCCTGGCTCAGCCACCTACTACCCACATTAATGTCAGGCGATAGACTCAATTTCCCCAATTCTTAATCTCTTTACATCTAAATGGAAATAATGAGGCCTGATTTGTAGCATTGTTGCAAAAATTAGGCATATCATAAAGACAGCCCATGACAGAGGAACATAACACAGAGCCAGGTATGGTAATGGTAACAAAAGRTGCTTACTAATCCTACCCTGGTATGACCTGGTCTTCTGAAGCCTGCCCCTGGGTTCCACCATGCAGCAGCTGCAACTGTAATTCTATAATGACCCCTCTTCCTTTACCTTGGATTATCACAGATAACTTGAAACTCAATAACTCACATGTGCTTGCATTATTATATATTTCAATTTCAATTTGTTTTCTGAAATAAAATCCCTTGAATTAAAATTCATTTATCATGTTTTTCTTTTTTTTTTCTTTGCCACACAAGCAACGTTTTTTTAGTGTTTTCTACTCATCAAYTTGGCAATTTCTTTACTCAGAGGAGCTAAAGATCTTCTCTATATTTAGTGACTTCACCGTGTATTCCCTCTTCCAATCATTTAAGATCCCAGGGCAATGTGCTATTTGCCTGTGTTGTATTTCTGTTTTGTGAATTGCTTTATTTTACAAGATAAAGCAGCCTGCTAAATCCTTGATGACTGACTTTGGTAAGATATCTTGTCAAAGACTTTGAAAGTCTAAATGAAAGAAACCTTCTTATTTGTTTCTTGTTGACATCTTTATCCCCTAAAAAGAATTGAAGTAGATTTAATAGGAGATGTTTTCCTTGAACTGAAATCCTTGCCTTTTCCCCCTTGACGGTGATTTTGGAAGTATTTAGGGGTCCTACATGTCATACAGATGAGATGCCCTCAATGGCTCTGCATTGCCTCTGGAGCCTTTCTTTAAAATGAGGGACACATGGATGACCTAGGAGTCCTCTAGCTCCAGCTCAATGGCTTCCATGGCATTTGCAGTTTGACAAACATTTCCCCTTAAAGTTTCCTGAGGATAAGGATGACCAGTGTGGACAATGTGTGCCTCCTGTTTGAGGTCTCCAGTTAATGGTTATGGTTTTTTTTTTTTAATCTTTTCTCCCAAAGCCAATTGTG